CTCTCTCTCTCCCTCTCTCTCTCCCTCTCTCTCTCCCTCTCCCTCTCCCTCTCCCTCTCCCTGCTGGAAGTCTTTATCTACACGCAACACACTGGATTTCATTATGCTATTTCATATTTTGGTTGCTATAAAGAGAAAATATTCATGTTTCACTGAGAATCGTGTGAAATAAGCGTGATTGAAATGAATATATAATTTATTGGCGCGGTTTCAATGTATTTGCGCTTCATCATTGACTATCCCATGGGGATTTCCGAGTCACACGGTGCTCCTGTCATACGTAAATCATCCGAATATCACAAGGACGAGATGTTTCCGGTTCGTATGGTGATTACTCATGTATTATGATAGGGGGTTCAATGACGTCAACCCTGAACAATAAGATACGGACAAGTATTATGATCGTGGTGACGTCAAATGTATGAACAGTATGATCGAGGGCCAAATTATGTTGCCGTTGTGAACTGAGCAAGTATTTATTATTAAAATTGTTCACAGCAAAGTGTTGGCCCTGTCGTCGTAAAGCACTTGCAACGTTTCGTCAATCAGTGTACTTGTCGCTCAGCAGGTACTCAAATCCTATCTGTGGCTGAATATAATAAAGGTCGACCCGTACCACGGGTGAGTGCTCGATAGACTCAACGGAGAGGACAAATACAATGACCGAGATTTATTCACGAACAGATTCGACTTCAGGGTTGGGAGGGGGTCTTTGAAGACCGGGGCCGGGTCTGGGTATGATGAGATGGCGCACTTGCTATAAGAGGGACTGTAATATAATGCATTGCCGTAATGCCATTATGACAGAAATCTGGTCACCCAGCCCTGTCACGTAGTCCCACGCATGATTATGTGAAAACATACTTCAGTTGTACCGACAGCAAATCATGCGTACGTATAGCAAAGTCATGATTCAGTATAGTATAGTTTATCCAACGCTGGAAACTGTCACCAGTATCACAGGTGACAATTAAACAAAAACACTCGCGCCATTAAAATCTCGTTCTATTTATATAGTGATTTATTTCGTAGTACATTGCAATCGTACCTCGATTAGAACATATTCATCTTTTTCAGTGTGTGCATGAGATAGAGCGTTGAGGAATATTTGATTGCGTCAGATCCGCAATTAGAATTACGAATTAATGACAATGAAATGACAATAAAATATTTGACCAGACCCCATACACACACAACCCATTCGGACGGATTTCTGCTCCAAAATGTTCCATTTATATCGCACATCGCTGTTCAACGATTTTTCGTTTCGGAAATCACGAATATAGATTTTCAAGGGGATTATGTTTTTACAAGAGTTGTTCAAAGGGTCGATATTTTTTTTTTGATCTGCAGTCGTCCGTCACAAAATACCGTAATTTATATTGTGAATGACAATCACAAAAATATATGTGTATTATTTCCACTTCACTTTAAACAAACAGATTGACAATTATAAGTTATCCACTTGATAGAAATGAATATATATATATGGAAACTACAGATCATGATGACATATCGGTATTGTTATGACTTTGCGATCAAAAATATATACAGTACTATTACTGTTAAGTACGATACTAAATGGTTTCCTTAATTAATTTGCCTTGTACGTAGTCACTTCAATTATTTTTTGGGCGAACCTTGTTTGATTAGTTACCCGAAAATGTGGCGAGGCGTGTAGTTTAGCGCATTTGAAATCCGCAAAAATACAGGTAATACATTTTTCGTGGTAATTACTAAAGTTCTACAGAGAGGCTGCGTGACTACGGCGATGATATTACCCCTAATCGACGGCGGCGACGGGAGTTCATAAACATTGTGGCTCAAAACATATGTTGATTATTGGAGAAAAGTAACACACAGTTTTACAGCGGCATATGTCTATGGTTCTTCCAACGTATGTTGCCACCGACATTGCAAAATAAGTGTTTATTATACTATAATAACATATGGTCATTAATTAACATTCTCGCCGCCAGAGATTATTTTCGCTTCGAGACTCAATGAAATAGGGCTGCCGTAAAAGAGGCCGTGGCGTACGACGATGTTATTAGGGGATAAGAGACCGACCGTTATTGCGTACATCTCCGTTCTTGCCCTGTTATCACGCAGAAATGGACAGTGTAGATTCCTGTATTTTAATTTGATATATCTCGAGTTCTCGATCTTGAAGTTTAAAAAATAGTTATATTCTTCCGCACTGTATACATGTAAGCCGCGTTAGATCTGTATTCAAACAAACGCAGACACTGTCACACTGACATGTTCATTTCATACTCATAGTAATGCAGCAATGGATGGGAAATGTCATAATGCTTCATCATTCACGGATCCGAACACTTATTATAATTTACAGCGCTAACTATTAGTTGCGGTTGATGTTTAAGTCAAAGCGTCACAGTTGTCGCCAAGCATAGTGATTGGGTGCCAAGTGACGAATACAACGATAGTCATTCGTTGAACCCCGAAAGGGTCGCGTGACGACGGTGGCGGCGCTGTGATACAATCGATGTGTTAGAACACCGTCCCTCAACACGGGACGGTGGTTAGAACTTCATTTGGATTTGTGTGTGCAATATGATGTATCCACCCTTATGTGTTATAATTACACAGTTATTAATCTGGGTTTATTACATGTAGTTGTCCTTTGTGTGATATAATAAATCACATACTTACATCATGTGTAGCACAACAAGTATGAATATAAATTACACTCATTACATTAAATTTGATTTAGGTAACGTAACCTCAATCAAACCAGCAAACAAACTGAATGCCATTACAACAGTCGAGTATATACAATAAATCACATATTAACCGTGACGTCATCGTCGTCAAATAAAATACTGTACGTAGATGCACTTAATCAAATTATATTTACATGAAAGCAAAAATCGAAAAGCAAAAACTGAAAATAAATGCGATAATGCTGTGAATTGTAAAGTGGGATGTTGACTTTTAGCAAATCCAATGAAGGTTAGTTAGTGAGATTGGCATCACGTAGCGGTCAAAATCATGGAAACATCGTCTGTGTAATGTTACCGCTGAAGGGGATGAAAACGATGCTGACAAAGCATTTTCATTTACGTTCGGTTGTGTGGTATAATGTAGTACTTCCTTATGCCAGGCATGCCTATAGGAGGAATCACATATTTTTTTTAAACATATATAGGGCGGCAGTCGTGCCGCGTCCTGTTCGATATAGGACTCATAGCGACGTATACAACGCGTGTAAAATCCCGGAGGTCACCCTATATTAAAACCTTACACCATGTGCGTTCTTGCTAAAACAAATAAT